AATCTGCTCTGAGAAAAAATGCAAAAAATAAAAATAAAAACAAAGATTTACCTGGTGTCCTCAACCCATGCGTTGCTATGATTGGCTGTACTCATGACATCACTGAGGTTGAATCGTGCGACGGCTCTGGATATCTAGCAGCTAGATATTTTTCTGGGCTCGGCGACGCGTCTGCGAGCGTTTTCGCTGCGTTGTTGGCTCTTTCATACTAACAGATTGGCAAGCCTTCAGGCCCGTACACACCGGGACGAATATCAGCGCGCGTTATTCGTCAACGTTTTTCAACGCGTTTTTTGTGTTCACACCCAAGCGTTTTTCGCTGACGATGAGCCGAGTGAACATGCAAATTCATTCCCTGACATTAGATGGCGCTTAATGTAAAACAGAAATAATAATAGAATACTATACTAGGGTGATCATATTCATGTCTCAATGTTTTATTTTGAGAGATAAAAAAAACGAATGAAATAATGATAGAAATAATGTCTTCTGTAAGACAAATAATAAATATAGAAAAATAAATATATAAATAATAAATAACTAAAAAAATGCCTCCAAATGTAACAAAAAATAGCTCTCACAAACTTACAAAAACGAACTAACAAAATCTATTTATATCTTTAGTTTTCATTTTCTTTATCTTGCTTTTCTTCCTCATCCACCTTGTTTGCCCATCTATATTTTCCTGTAGAACTGATCTTTCCCAGCAGTTTTTGTTTGAAAACCAGGACATTTTCATCACTTAAAAACAGTCAGGACAGGACGTGGAAACAGGACATGTGTAACGCAAAGTTGAGATGTTGCCCAGAGATAAAAACATAGCAGTTGTCAGATGAACAGATGCACGAGAGACGAGAGTTGTCGTATTTCCCCGCGTTTAATAAAACCACTCAAACGTCACACTCGTCCTCCTCATACACGGGGATCGAGCGAGAGAAAACAAACAAACAAGCATCTGGTCACAATAGAAAAATAAAATAAAAGAAAGAATACAAAGAGTCGGCACAGCGGTTATCTCCTCTCCTCACTTGTCAAAATCTAACTGACATTATGCACACTATGCGCAGTTCTCATCTCAACTCAGATTTCTATAAAGCACAAAGTGACCGTTTTACATATGTCCCGGGAAAACAGGACTGTTGGTCACCCTATACTATACTATTATTACAGAAATACTAATATAAATATTATCTTATAGCTCTTTGTGCTCCGAGACCAGCAGCTCAACATTCATCTTGCCCATACAGTAGGTATCTTGTCTCTTCTTCGCCGTATGTGTGCTCGGCAAGACCGTTTTGTGTTTGAGCGCCCTCAAGTTGTGTTTTACTGTAACTTCAGAAGTACCAGACACGTGAGCAAACCCGCCGATCTCGTTGGTCGGATAGGTTTTGACGCGGCGCGTCAAACCAAAAAAACGAACCCGAGGCGTTTTTTTAAAAATGACGCTTTTACGCGTGGCGTTTTTCGTGTCGGTGTGAACACTCACATTGGCGCCCATTGTTTAGTCACGAGGCGTTAAACGTCGACGAATAACGCGCGCGAAATTCGTCCCGGTGTGAACAGGCCTTTCATTGTCCACTAATCCCCCGCGATTTGCACGCGATAACACCCTGACCTGTCGGCGAGCTCAACAATTTGCAAATCGGGCATAAATCGGGCTTAAAATCCTGTAGTGTGAACTTGGCTTAAAACGCCATGCGTAAAAGCATCATTTTTAAAAAAATGCCTCGGGTTCGTTTATTTAGTTTGACGCGCCGCGTCAAAAACTAACCAACCAATGAGATTGGCGCTTTTGCTCACGTGTTTGGAGCTTCTGAAGATACAGTAAAACACAACTTGGGGGCGCTCAAACACAAAACGGTCTTGCCGAGCACACATATGCAACGGTGAAGAAGTTATACGCGTCGCCGTCTACACAGCCAGGAAGAAATAAGACGAGGAAGATGCGAGGCGAGTGTAGAGCTGCTGTTCTCGTTGGTGCTAGAAAATAAAGAACTATATGACAAACGCGACTGGGACTACAAACATCTTGATAAAAGAGAACTGTTATGGAGTGGTATTGCAGAGCAAATTGGCGCCATCTAATGTCAGGGAAAGAATTTGCATGTTCACTTAGCTCATCGTCAGTGAAAATCACTTGGGTGTGAACACAATAAAAAGGCGTTGAAAAACGCTGACGAATAAAGGCCAATTTATACTTCTGCGTAGGGTGCACGCAGTAGGTACGGCGTAGCATACGCACAGACGCGTCCCATATCGCATACCCTTCGCCGTAGCCTGACGTGCACCTCCTCAAAATGTAACTACACGTCGCGACGGCGCGGATCGCAAGATCGGTGATTGGCTTGGTAGCATCGTATTTCCTCCTACGCATTTCCGCACGTACCTTCTCACGCATTTCCACACGTACCATCTCCTCCGACGTCTTCTCTCGTTTCTGCCTTTCAGTTTTTGTAATTTCACTAAAATTAACTGTTTTTCCACCTCAATAAGCTCCAACTCCAACATGATCCGCTCTCTTTCTGTCACTATTGCTTGTAGTAACCTAGCCGCGAGGAATCTAAACACAGTGGAACATTAAAACCCTCTGCCGCCAACTAGCTTTTCGGTGCAGTACTGCAGAGCAACCAAGACCTGAACGCAGAAGTATAAAAGCTCACAACGGCGTCGCCTACGTGCGTAGCCAACGCCGTACACTACGGCGTACCCTCGACACAGAAGTATAAATTGGCCTTAACGCGTGCTGATTCGTCCCGGTGTGTACGGGCTGATTTATACTTCTGCGTCGGACATACGCCGGAGCCTCTACGCTATAGACTACGCTTTGGACTATGCTTTTCCGCTTTGATACGCTTTTTGGTATTTATACTTCTGCGTCGTTGTCCGCGTTGACGTGCAATTACACATGCAGACGGAGCATGTGAAACCCGGGGAGCTGTTCTAACAGACCAATCACGACGCTTGTGTCCGCGTAGAATTGCCGCTTTGTTACATTTTTGGAAAGGTGCGCGTCAGGGTACGGCGAATGGTACGCACGCTACACGCGTAGCTACGGCGTGAGTTCGACGCAGAAGTATAAATTGGGCTTTTCATGTTTGTTGGCAGTGGGTTTGGACGACATGCATGGCGCGTGAGTGAACTTTCTCTTCGGCAGGTATTAAATCCGATGAATGTAGCGTCACGGCAGTGGACACCAATATGGTAGGGGTGTAACGATATCCTCATATCACAATTCGATACATATCACGATACTGAACTCACAATACGAAATTATTGCGATACTCCAAGACATATGGTAAAAGGTTAACAAAAAACGTACTGTTGATGTTGGGGAGACTTAAAAGGACTGTATTATACTTCTACTGCTGGAACTACTTTTTGTGTGGTAATCACTCTCGAGTGTCGGTCAGAACACAAGAACTGGACCAATAACTGACTAGATGGTGTTTAATAAACTGTTGCAGTAGGCATGGGCATACAATGAGCAAATTCAGAAACCGACCCAAATTATTATGTTGTATATGTACTTCATATATTTGACATACTGCACACAACATGATCCGTTTGACACTTCTATGGGCGTAAAAAGTGTGTCGTCACGGTAACTAACCACAAGACGGAAACACGAAAGTGGTTTATCACTCTGTATGTGTTGGGTTTGAGTTCTGTGGGCTGTATGAGAAAGTTCATTTATCAAACATTTTTCAAAACAACATGTCTTGTTATCTATTCATCATCAGGGTAGAGATATCTCCCAAATCAAATTTGAAATATGATGTAAAAATAAAGCCATTTCTGTCCCACAATTCCTGTAAAGCTGCGACATGAAAGAATCAATCTCCACATCACAGCAACACCAACACAAAAGGGTCTGGGACATTACTTGTTGACTTGTCCAATTCATTAATCTAGCCCAAAGACATTGTTTAACTTCGGTCAATGTCAGCACAATGTGGCTTTAAATCTGTCACCCAATCATTCCCATAGGCACCTCTGGTATGAATACAGGCTAAAGGTTATTTTGGTTAAAGCATTTTTAGGGAGGAACATAAGACGATTGTTACAAATACCCATTAGAAACTGCATGGGAGATGAAACAGTAGAACGTTCTTGAATAACGTCACCTTCATAGCAACTCGAAAACAGGAAGTAACACGTACAAATGCACACATCATGTGTTAAACAGCATATTGATTCAGCGATAATTCAGGGTTTTCTAAGTATTTATTTAAAAATAAATAATTAATAACACTTTAGTAAGTACATGTTAATTCAGTTTACACGGTACTTAAATGTATAATAATAACACAAATTTATGATAAATGTTTCAAATAAGCCACATTTTGTGAGCCAGTTATTGTTTTGGACATCTGTAAGCATTAATGTACATGCGTCAGAAGAAAAGTTTCCATATATAAAACCTTAAAGGTTTCTATTCATGTAGGGGTTCCCATCATGGGATTATTTGATGTATTTAGTTTAATGAATTTTGTTTTAATTCATTTTTTTAAATTTGATTAAATTGAATTAATTAAAAACCTTGTAAACACTTTTTTTTTTAAAAATTATAATAATAAATAAACAATTAAACGTAAGTATTTTGTCAATATTTAAGACAATATTTAAGACAATTCCTAATTTAGAAGCTCATTGGTCTTCCCTAAAATTCAGTCAAGATCCTCAGACGGTTCTAGAATCCCATTTAAACTTTTTTTTTTCAAAGAGTGTTGATTTGCCTCAAAGAGTGTTGATTTGTTTGACTTTAACTGTAATGCTGTATATGTAATATTAACAATATAACAATATTGTAATATAACAATAATATTTGGATTTTAATGAAATAGTAAAGATTCTGAGTACAGATTAACATCCAAGGAACTTTACTCAACACCAAACTGACACCATGATGAAGCCTATTTTCATTTTATTGTTATATTAGTTGGCAACCTTTCCCCGCCTCCCTCCCTCCCTCTCAGTGTCAGCAAGAGCAGGGGCTGGACTGCACTCACTAAACTCTCACTGGCACTTCAGGCTTCTTCAACATTTAGAGTCAGTGAGAAAGACACAAGACCTACTTCGGGAAGCAAGATTGAGTAAAGGAGGCATTCAAATAAAAAAGCCTCACAACTTATGTTTTTTTTCCTAGATAGTGAAGAGTCTAGTCCTGCATGGAAACAGAAGACAGTTGGTGAGGAACGACTTTTGAAGAGTCTCAAGACATTTCTTGCACGGGATTGATCAGGATAAATCATAAGCTGTTTTCTTTTTATCGGATTTTTCATTTCTCGTTGACTCTTTGACCATGAGGAACATGTATCTGCTGAGTCTGGGTGAGTCACACTTCAGATCTTTGTAGGATTGAAGTTTCCACAGATCAATGTAGAGACAGATGTTTGTATGGAGCCACTGTGTGGTTTTGCTAACTCAAACGTTGCCCTGCCAACAACTGCGTAATTTACTGTTTTAAAAATAGAGAAACAGCAAATGGCCATGAGAGGAAACTGCCACAGATAGGAAAAACTGATGTCACAATGGGGTAGTATTTGTGTGAATCAGGGTTCATGAGCGCTGGTTATCTGGAAAGCACCAGATAAATGTGAGAGATGAATAGAGAACAAGCAGAGGGTTCTGCTCCGGTTCTTGTAGTCTTTGGAAAACAACTGTGAAGTGAAATAAAAGAAGGTTTGGTTATTAGCACATGATTTTGGGTAAGAGATTGTTGTGAAACAAGGACTGATATATGCAAACACTGTCATGAACCTTCAAAATCAAAATAGTGTGCGTTCAGTATGGGATGTTGTGGGACAATAAGTGAAACTGGGTGTTGTTTAGCTGGGTTAGTTCAGCCAAATATAACAATTCTGTCATTATTTACGCACCTTCACTCTTATGGGTTCTTGACTAAATTTTAAAGAACCCTTTATGCTAAAAAGGTTCAATATAAGGAGAAATATTTGCATAATACTACTTTTATGTTTAACAGGTTATTAATTTTTTTTATTTCTATTAATAAAGTTTGTTTACGAGCTGATTAATTCATAAAATGTAATTAAAAAGATATATATTTAAACAATTTATTAAAAACTAAAATAACCTCATGAAGTAACCCCTAAAATGTTAAATCCTTTAAAGTTTGATAGAGAACAATTTTCTTCTAGAGATTTTTTAACCTGTATGACTTTTTTCTGTTGAACACATAAGAATATATTTTGAAGAATGTTGGTAATCAAACTCAAAATTTCTTCCTTGTGTTCCTCAGAAAAGAATAGTCATTTTTGGGTGAACTATCCCGCTTGGCTTTGATTTTGACAAAGGAAAAATATTAGCGGAAACCGAATCAGGACAGGAAAGCCGAGGTGTTTTAGGTCTGTCCACACAGTTGAGATGCCCAGGATAATGGGATGGTGGCATTAAACCAATGAAAAACTATAAGAGGGGGAAATGTTACATAAACCTTTCTGTTAGGCTGAAAAGAATAAGAACAAATTCATGAAACAATTGTTTGTCTGGTTGCACAACACTGAGCAAGACCACACCTTCGGTTATGGTGGAGTCACTACTGTGGGTTGTAAAAAGTCCTACACTGTTTTTAAGAGTCTTCTGTGTGACCCTGCCTGTGGTCAGAGCATGTGACAGTGTGTCCGTCTGAGGGCTGGTTGTGTTAAATCTGTTAGCTCCAGTCCTGCACAGAACCTCACACTTCCTGAATCGCCATCATCTCAACGCAACCGTCATGAACAATGAGTGGAAATAGCATTACATGAATAGATTAATCTTGTTATGCTTCTTTCAACTTTGTCTTCTCAGTCTGTTTTTCCTTGTGAATAACAATTTAGTGATTATGGGCGATAAATAAAGGCTGATTTTGGCAGCGTGACTTACAGTATATATAAGATTAGATAGGCAAAAACATGACTTAGTGTGACATGCACGACTGTTAATGCTCATTGGCACCAATGTTTACAAACAGTTCATTTACAGTATTCAAGGCCAAAAATGAAAATGCTTCTATTTTCTATTAAATGCAAACTTTTTAATTACATAACATGAAGAGTAAAAAGTTGAGTTGGCAGTTAACATGAAAATCAGAATGTCTTAGTATTGTGTTGTTTATTTGCAGGTTTTAATGTGGTCTCAGACATTTGGATCTCTGTAAGTGCGTCAAGCTATTCACCAAAGACATTAAACACTTTTTATTTGTGTTTATAGGTCTTCTATTGGCACTGACAGAGAACATCATGATGAGGGAGATCTGCGGCGTTGGATTTAAAGCGAGAAGGGGAAAATGCATAGGTATGGATAAAAAGACTAACATGATATAAAACTCTTTTTCAAAAGCTTTAAGCAATATCAGGGCTCAACACGATTTTACTTGGATTAAACATCTACATTTATACTGGCCCCACAAAAACATGATAATCAAGTTTTATTGATATAGTTTTATATTATTTAAAAAATAGCTATAATTAAAAAAGATACAAATAATATTGTCACATTTATGAACTGAATCTGCATGCACTCATTAATAAACTGTAACCAAAAATAAAGAAGAACTTCTGTGGTTATTCATATATTTTCTGTCATTATATAGATGCAGATGAGTGTGAGTCTATTCAGCCGCCCGTCTGTGGAGAAAATGCAATATGCTCCAATACAATTGGAAGTTACTACTGTCATTGTAACGGAGGGTTCGAACCAACTCACAATTTCACACAAATTGATGGAATCAAATGCGAAGGTAAAGAGAACTTGATATGACGCATCTTCTCATATGACCTCTGTGTAGCACAAACAACATCTGAATCTCTGTTCATCTCATTACAGACATCAATGAATGTGCGGATGGAAGTGTTGTGTGCGGTCCCAATGCAGAATGTGTCAATTCTGCTGGAGGTTATTCATGCACATGTAAAAATGGCTACATTTCCAGTAATGGAAAAGAGATGTTTATTACAGAAGACGGAGTTCAGTGTATTGGTAAGAAAGTGTTAGAGCTATAAACATTGTCTGGCCATCTATTGTTCAACACTGCTTTTGGTCTAATGTGAGAGTTTTCATGTAACATGTTGTTTATTGTCTGTACTTGAATTATAGACAGAAATGAATGCGACGATCCCGGTGTTTGTGGAATAAATGCAACGTGTCACAACACCCTCGGTTCACATTACTGCACGTGTGCTGCGGGCTTCACACTGACGTCAGGAGAAACTAACTTCACTGATTTAAATGAACGCTGCAAGAGTAGGTCCTTTAAAACTGTAAAGTAATCTAAAAGAAATTTTAGATTATTTTGAGAAATGTCAGATCCTTCTCCAACATGTTTTCATGTTGTTAAAGGTGTATGTGACATTGATGAATCTATCTGCGGAGAAGGAACCTGCACAAACAGTAAAGACGGCCATGAGTGTGTGTGTAAGTCAGGATTCACCAACTATGGACACAAACAAATGAAATGCACAGGTTAGTGTTCTGTTAAGATCTGATCCTTTTGGTTTCCAAAATACCTCTAAATGTCATGCTTTCCAAACATTCATTGCACACAATGGCTGAGTTTGCACCATTAATCCAAAATATTCTGCAAAAATGTTACTGTAAAAAGTAGTAACCTGCAATTGATGCATTAAAAAGCTATTTCCTCCTGATTTAACTCTAATTTAACCAGTTTTTCTGGTATATATTGGGTTGATTTATTGATATTAAATAACATTTGTGACTTTTTTGACTGTTGGTCTGGTTATCAGTTGTTTCTTTTGTGATGCTGCTTTTCAGAGCTTAATTGCAACACATCTATAAGCGAGAGCAAAGGATCCCAGGTAATTTGACTAGATTACTGATACAGAATATTACAGTCATTCATAGTCAACTAGAGTGCTAATCTCTCTTTTTCTTTGTGTTGTGTGTGTGTGTGTGTGTAGGCATCTCCAAAGCTAACAGAACTCGTCTCTCTGATGACCAACACCTGTATGGGACTGAGCGGGAGTGAGTCTGTCAGGAAGGAGCGTTTTACACAAGTGGATGGAGAAAGACTTTTGGAGGTGACACCTTGTAAAATACAATACTTATGTATACCCTTGTGAAAAATAAGTGACTGATGTGCACTTGTAGTGTACTTGTAGTGTTAGTGTAAAAAGCCACGTAAGTGTGCTTTAAGCAAATCCACTTTGACTGTTTCTTAACACACTTAAGTGCATTTTTAAAAAGTGCACTGTAATAATTACAAAGTAAAAATGTTTACTTCAAAGTACACTATACATCATTTACATCTTTAATAATCTTTAATAAAAGTCATGTTTTTAAAAAAATGCATTCATTTTGATGTGCATATGTCTGTTTTTCGGTATTACATTTACATTTAATAGATTTTTAAATGTACAAAATATTTACAAATGTATAATTACAAATATATTAAACAAATATATGACATACAAGTTTCAATAGAAATGTTGTCAAATCGATTAATAGCATCTAACATAACAGTTTGTGTTTACATATGTGTGTATATATGTACACAATATTTAGTATGTACAATAAAATCTATACACACACACACGTATACACATTTACTGTATATATACACACACATATATATATATTTGTGTGTGTATAGACACGGCGCACACAGACATATATTTGAAATACAGTATGTAAATTTAATAATATATATATACAAACACATGTGTAAACACTAACTTTTATGTTAGCTGTGATTAATTGTGATTAATTGATTTGACATCACTAATTAAAGTATATTTTAGTTGTTTTTTTTTAATGCTTGTCATATTTTATCCATATTTCAAAGACAATAGAAGTAATTATGAAATTGCGTATAAAGATAGAATTAAGTCTTACTTAAGTGGGTCAAAATAGCTCTCTAAATTTCAGCTAATTGCATCTAGCATAAACTTAAACTACATGTTCAGTTACTTTTAATAAACATGAAATGAATGAAGCGTCTAAAAACATTCAGTTCCCACTCAAGTATACCATTTTAAAGCATATTATGCCCACAGTGAGTACTCTTTTAAATGTTTGCTAAGTATACTTCTTTTTCACATATATGCTAAAACCATGTGCTAAAGAGCCTTGCATACATTAAATAGAGTATCTCAGCTCAAATAAGTGCTTATACTCAAACATTATCTTAATACACAAATCTGTCCCATTTCACCCATACAGGCTTTTCTGAAAGCTTTAGATGATCTACTTCGCGGTGGCTTCCAAGGAAATAACCATGAAGTGTCGGCGCTGTTTAATATTGTGGAAAACATGCTAAAACTGATAGGACCTCTGCTGTCAGAAAGCCAGACCAAGAGATCCGCCACTGAAACTGGTAAGAACAGTAGCACACACACACACACATCTTCAGTCTGTTCTTACATTATTAATGTGGGGTTTCGTCCTTCAGAGGTGGAGCTGTTGGTAAAAAGAGGCAGTTCTCCACCCGAGGGTGATTTCAATATATCCACCAGCAGTACACGGTTTGCATCCCACTGGGACACAGCAACAGGAAAAACGTACCACGGTATATATTCTTGATCACATTTACAGAGTTAAGTAATAAACTGTCTATGACCATACCATTTTAAACACAAATTTGTCTTTTGTGCATCAACCAGGCTTTACGACTGCAGCTCTCCTCACCTACAAAAGTCTGGGGAATTATCTCAACCAATTTTTTAACCGTTTAGAGACACCAAAGCAGAAGTTCAAGATCAATTCAAAAGTGTTAACCGCCACCGTTAGCAATGCAAAGACTGCCAATCTGGAGACATCAGTAACACTCACGTTTTCTCACTTGGAGGTATGGGACAGTTTAGTTTGCTCTCAATGTGCCACATGCAATGTGTTCCACCAGTGTGATGAATATTTCTCTCCAGAGATCAGACAAGGATCATATCTGTGTGTTTTGGGATCCTGAGCTGGAAGGGGGCGCGTGGTCAAAGGAAGGCTGCACTACTATGAGCTTAAGTGATGCCCAGACCGTCTGCTCCTGTAATCATCTCAGCAGCTTCGCTGTGCTGATGGCTCTCTATGATATTGGGGTTGGTACCCTTAACTGTTGTCAAACAGAACATGAAGAGTTCAGATGCAAAAGCCTCTAAGTGCCATTTGAAATTTTCTTCTAGAATGATCATTTTTATCAAGCTTGTATATTTAAGTTCAGTGATTTCACTTCAATTGCAATGAGGATTACCTATTAATTGTTATTTAAGTGAAATTACAGAACTTGAATATACAAGCTTGATAAAAATGACCATTTTAGAAGAAAATTTCAAATGGCACTTAGAGGCTTTTGCATCTGAACTCTTCACATATTAAAAAAGTAACTTTTTATCTCACAATATTGACACTTATTACAATATATTTTGAAATTCTGACTGTCTGACTTCTGACAATATAATCTGAATTCACCTTTGGCTAAGCCCCGCCCCCCCTTAGTTACTGTTGCTAGGTCCGTCAAACTTCATCTGGGCGCTGGTTTGGTATCAACATGGCTTATGCTGTGACAGCTCTTCCTGCTGAAATGTTATCAAACTTTTATAAAGCAGCAAATAAAGTGTCCGATAGAAGTAGGCAAAGGGGGTGTTCGAAGGCTATATTCAAGACATACAGCTGAAACGCAAGAAACAAGGCATCCAAAATGAGGCAAAGGCATAACGTTACCGGTCACAGTCAAAAAATGAACCACCGCATATCCTACTAATGGAGACGGAGGCTGGGACTAACAATATCAGGGAGCAACACTGTTCATGCAAAGCTGGTAGGTCTCTATTCCCTTCTATAATCGTTATTACAAAGCAAAAGGACTACATTTATTAGCAGCGTGTGCTAGCGTATCAACAACTGGTATGAGAACCGAAATAATAACCTAAAACATTATAAAACGGTCTAACTAGTATAACTTCACATTCACAGTAAGGTTAGAAGCAAAAAAAAGATGTGCTTGTTGATCTTTGCGGGGTTTAGCTGACTGAGGACGTCCATTCAGTTTAATCCAAAAACGACACTTGTCAGGTTTTTACTTCGCTTTTGGGAAGGAAAAAAACGGACACCCCCCTCCAACCTCTCTGGGAAACGCGTATCTGTGTTACAAATGCCCGAGGCACAACGTTTAACCATATTTTGGATAAAACTACGACGGTAATAGCCTGCCGAGACCAAAAATATGAGACGCCTGTGTTGAAAGTCAATGGAGCGCTGTGAAAAAGTGTTGGACATCTGCACTCGCTGTGATTGGTCAGTCTACATTCTAGGGCGTGGCTTATCCAAAGGCGAATTGTACAGACTGATCTCATGAAGTAGCGTGTGTATGACACGCCAATTCGTATTTCTATTTTTGGCGTGCTATCAAGAAGCATAATCGCCTTTTAGCGTGTTTATGAACGCCGTTGACTTAACGTTATATAAATATATGACTTACCTCAACCCCGTCCCTAAATCTAACCATCACTGGGGTTAATGGCATTTATGACTTTTCCCTTACCATCCTAGGTAAAAAAAAGATATGACTTACCTCAACCCCATCCCTAAACTTAACCGTCACTGGGGTTAATGGCATTTATGACTGGAGATTTGACTGCGTGTACAGAGACGCGGAATGACGCGGGCGTTAATGGCGTAGACATATACGCATACACGCGGATACACGCGGATAGCTCAAAATGCGTAGAGATGACACGCCACCTGACTCGAAAGTGGCGTATATGTTTACGCAAAAGTCATGATGTCATGTTGGAATTGTACGGAGCCCCTAAAAGGAAATGGTGATGGCGGTGGGGGGTATAAGGTCAAATTATATGTCAAGGCTTTTGTGTTCCCCCAAGAAACACAACTCAAAAAGCATCGAAATATATGTTTCCCTCCTATCTCATATATTTTTAAACACCATATGTCCCTTTAGGGGCTCCGTAGAATTGCAGAACTTGCATATCTTGCAAATCTTGCAATTGTGAGAAAAAAAGTCAGTACTGTTAGATAAAAAGTCACAATTACCTTATTTATTTATTGGATTGCGTGGCGGAGACCAGCCTCCAAAGATCACATTAATCGTGAGGTGAAATCTTGTTTTACTTTCTTAACCAGGATGTATACCAGCTGAGCCTGATCACATGGGTGGGCCTGCCGCTGTCTCTGGTCTGCCTCCTCATCTGCATTGCCACATTTTACTTGGTGCGATCTATCCAGAGCACTCGCAACACCATCCACCTGCACCTCTGCGTCAGCCTCTTCATCGCCTACTTCGTGTTCCTCGTGGGCATCGCCCGCACCGAGAATAAGGTACGTGATCTTCGTGGTGTGGCTTCGCACGAGTTCACAGTTCTGATCATAAACGTCCTGTGTGTGGTTCAGGTGGGCTGTGCTGTTGTTGCGGGTGTTCTGCACTATTTCTTCCTGGCTTCGTTCTGCTGGATGTGTCTGGAAGGAGTGCAGCTCTTCCGTATGGTGGTGCTGGTCTTCAACACAACGCTGAGACCCATCTATATGTTTGCCGCTGGTTATGGAGTTCCCGCTGTTATCGTTGCAATTTCAGCCTCGGCGCATGCAAGTGGATACGGCACTGATGGCTAGTGGGTTTTCCGGATTTCGTAAATATTTTTTAGATGTTATTTAGATGTTATTTAGATGTTATTAAGATGTTTTCGCTTATCTTTAGCTGCTGGCTCAACGTTGAAGACGGCTTCATTTGGAGCTTTTACGGGCCAGTTTGTGCCATAATTATTGTAAGTAGCTACCGTTGCACTTTCCACAAATAGATTAGAAAACAGGATCTGAAAGGCGATGACAGGACTGAGTGACATGTCACAAGAGTCACAATGACATTTTATTTCATTTATTTGAAAATAAACAGTAATAGATGTAAAAAAAGAATATAAATAATTAAATTGGTAAATGGCTTTCCACAATGACATTTGTAATTTTTATGCGCAAAATTTGGGACACAGCCGACAAACTGTAAAAAATGGTAACATGGAATCTACTTTAAAGGGTTAGTTCACCCAAAAATAAAAATTCTGTCAGTATTTACTCACCCTCATGTTGTTCCAACCCTGTAAGACCTTCGTTCATCTTCGCAACACAAATTAAGTTATTTAAGATATTAAGATCGCTCCTGCATACTAGTCCATAGGCTTCTTGAGGGAATGACTTTCTGTCCTCAATAGTCCAAGTGACTACAGGGGCTCAATCTTAAGTTTATCAAACGACGAGAACACTTTTGTGCGCAAAAAAAACAACAAAAATAACGACTTTATTTCAACTATTCGTTTATTTCTCCCTCTGCGTGAGTCAGGTTACTAGTTTAATAGCGTAAGCTTCTGTTATTGTACGTCACACGCATCACACACATGACCAGCGTCGGCCAATAGTGAGCCTACGTGTGACGTAGCTTTACGCAATCACACTACGTTAACTGACTACAGGCCCATGGAGAAGGAAGTGAATAGTTGAAATAAAGTCGTTATTTTTGTTTGTTTTTGCGCACAAAATGTATTCTCGTCGTTTGATAAAGTTAAAATTGAGCCACTGTAGTCACTTGGACTTTTTTAACGATGTCTTTAATGACTTTTCGATGCCAGCAAGAGTCATTCCCTCAAGAAGCCTATGGACTGTATGCAGGAGCGATCTTAATATCTTAAATATCTTAATTTGTGTTGCGAAGATGAACGAAGGTCTTACGGGGTTGAAACAACATGAGGGTGAGTAAATACTGACAGAATTTTCATTTTTGGGTGAACTAACCCTTTAAGCACAAAAAAGTGCTTATTGTTATAACTTAATGTATAAATTGATTTAGTTATATTAAATAATGTAGTTGAATTAAACCCATAATTTAGATATATGCATTTTTCAGCCTGCAGGTAAATATATATATATATATATAGTTGATCAAATATACTGTATAAAGTAGTTCTCACAAAAAAAGCCATGGGATTTGAACTTCAAATGTTTTATAAAGTGATAAGACATCAAAGTTTATGCTATTACTGAAAAGTGCCACATGCCAGCAGCAGTCAAAACTGACTGTGAAAGAAATTGAAAGGAATTAATCAATTGTTTAAACACAGTTTTTTCCTGTTTGTTTCAGGTTAATGTATTCTTCTTCCTCATAACAATATGGAAGCTGGCTGAAAAATTTTCCTCCCTCAACCCAGACTTAAACAATCTACGCAAAATCAAGTGAGAAATGTTTTTAAACCCTATATGTGCACTGCCGGTCAAAAGCCAAAAAAAAAGTCAAAAGGTTTCTATGTGAACATATTATAAAATGTAAAATATTCCTGTGATGTCAAAGCTGAATTTTCAGCATCATTACTTCAGTGTCACATGATCCTTCAGAAACCAGTCTAATAAGCATTTAGATATGCTTTCAGTGAGCTTTAACATTTTTATCTCCGCCTACAGGGCATTTACGGTCACTGCGATTGCTCAGCTGTGTGTCCTCGGCATCATGTGGGTGTTTGGCTGTTTTCAGTTTAATAAGGACACTCTGGCAATGTCATACATCTTCACTATACTAAGCAGCCTCCAGGGGGTGCTGATGTTCATCATGCATTGCTGGCTCTCAAAACAAGTGAGTCCTGTTTCTCCACTAACTGAGATACATAAATTAGCATCAAATATGGAATGATAGATCAATCATGGCTTTGTCAATAAATATAAAGCCTGACGCCTGTTTCACGCAGTGCGTATGCGGTGCGTGTTGCGGTATGTGGTAAAGGAGTGCTTTCACATATGCTGCGTTTGCAGTGCGTAACTGATCCGCGGCTGTACCACAAACACCCCAGATAGCAAACTGACATTGAATCAACGTGGAAATATGACATCGAAACAACGTTGATCTGACATTGTTTTGCTCATCGAATTAACGTTGAACCAACGTCAGACGCGCCATTCTTTCAAAACTAACGGAAAATCAACTTGAAATCAACGCGTTGTTTCAACGTTATGAAAGCAAACCAATTTTCGATTTTCATTTAGCTTTGAAGAATGCCGCGTCTGACGTTGGTTCAACGTTAATTCGATGAGCAAAATCAACGTTGTTTCAATGTCATGAGAGACGTCGTTTCCACGTTGATTCAATGTCAGTTTGCTGTCTGGGACGTAGCCTACTCACTATTTTTATTTTTAAAAAAAAGTTGTCAGCATAGGTTTTGTCGGATAGGAACGATCCATAGCTTTTCGCAAGAGTTACATTTTTTTGAACACATCCGGACGACCAACTGACACGATTTTCTTCGGAAACGCACTCGGTCGAACCCGTTTCGGACCCATTCGCATGCGATCTGCGAATCTCCATTGGAAATGAATGACTTCTGGTTTAAACTGCCAGTGTGAAGTCGGCGTAACCTGTTAACATGAGTACGGAAAAAAATACGTAAAAATGAACATAAAGTGAACATTATGTTCAAAAAAATTGAACTCTTGCGAAAAGCTATGGATGATTCCTATCCGACAAAACCTATGCTGACAAAACTTTTTTTTTTTTAATTAAGTTGCTCCATAACTTCTGGATTTGAAATAAAAATAGTGAGTAGGCTACGTGTTTGTGGTACAGCCGCGAATTGCAGTTCATTTACAATAGAGTGGTGACCAGGTTTAATAAATATTAAATAATTCTTCAAATTATTATTATATTTGTAAGTTTGATTTCATGTCGACTGTAAAAATACCCCATGACAATCGCTGTCCCTAAAAAAAAGTAGTCAATAGAATTTAGTTCATAGCACATAGCCTATGTGATGTCTTTTTCATTTCCCCACAGGTGAGAGAAGAGTACGCCAAAGTCCTGTCATGTATCTGTACACCACAGAAGAGGAAATATTCAGAGTTCGGCTCAAACCAAACAAGCAAATCCCAGGTAAACTCGCTCTCAGTTAGGGACCGTTTAGCTCTCGTTAAATCTATTTCAAGGTTGAGTTGCGTATCCGCTTTTGGATTCATGTCACAGCGTGGAGTTTCCAAATGCCACAGCAGTACCGGCGTGTGCACATTATCATTTTGATTGCGAGAAATATGTTTACTTGTTGCTTTAAAATCCTTGTCTATCAGGGCTTGAGTTGAAGTGCCCTCATCACAACCATTACAAGGACATCAGAGATCACTCACATGCTAATTGCTCGTTCAGATAGCAACCTTTAGCTACTCAGGGGAGGCGATGATCACTGGAGCATTTTAATCCGGAAATAACTTGTTGTGACTGTGAATGTATATGAGCTTGAGTTTGACAAAATACCCAATTGCCTGCACTGTTTTACAGGCCTCCAGGAGTGTTCAGCACACTGGCGAATCCCACATTTAAGAGGCCATGTCAACAGATCATCGACTTTATTATTCATTTGCAAGTTGAAGTGCCAAATTATCTGCTTTCTATGGACACCACATCCATTTTCTATGGATCTCACATGTCAGCTAGGGGCGGGCGATGTACCAGTAGACACAATTAACCCGTCTCTATCGCGGTTACGCACACGGGCCTTTCTGTACAGTCTCGAAAGCTTATCGTCTGCATACATTTTTAAGCACTTAACACTTCAAGCGCTATAAGCAAGTTTACTTTATTTATACAGCACATTTTTACCACAGCCGCTGGCTGGCCAGAACAGCAGAAATTAAAATAAAAAAATTAAAACGAAGTAGTACCTACGTAACGACACAAATGAGCGCAACGTTAAAACAGGCGAAGCAAAGCAGGATCAGACTTGAATATAAAATGGTCAAACAGAAGTGATAAAACAGTATCAGACTCGAATTTAAAATGGAAAGAATCACGAGTGGCAAAAACAGTATCAGACTCAATGGAAAATCGGAAAACCAACCAACCAACCAACCAACCTTAAAAATGGCAATGGAAAACATGTATCTTTAGAAGTGACTTTACAGCATTCTGGTAAGACTGTCTTTAAAACAACTGGAGTGAAACGTGTAGCTCGTCCTTTTTCCATTTCTCGGCTTTTCTACTCGATTGTCTTAGTTGACGTATATCCGTGTTCGGATTTGGGTTTGGGTGTGTGAGGCTTAAGCCGAGCAGTTTCATTTAGGGCATTCAGCCGAGCAGAGTTTAATAGACTGAGATGTTCGTCGGCAATCGGCATCAAGGTCCAATAGCGGTGATGAATCCAAAAACTAATGTGTGCAGGATTTCATGAAGTGCTCTGTAAAAACCGAGCCATTAGACCGAGACAATGTTAAAACTACAGCGGTGCAATGAGAAAGGCAGGGAAGAGAAGTAGAAAATAACATTGGCTTATGGTCCGAAAGCATAAAATCAGATATAACAATGTCACTAATTTAGATTAGATTTAGATTTATTTGACCACTTAAATATAAAAATATGAAGAACAGTAAGAAACTGTTGCATACATTAAAAACAAATACAAAAGTAGTCAGGGATAAACACAATAAAGCCCGAAGACTTATTTCCATTGTGGTCCCTTATAAAGGCAGCGGAAGAAGTCAAGTGGCAACGCATCACACATCAAACATTCACATACATAAACCAAATTCATACATATTATACCACAAAAAAAAAAACAAAAAAAAACTTAGTATTATAAAAACTACATTTGGCCCCTAAACCATAATTTTCACCCCATAGGAAAGTACAAGATCCAGAATGTGACCCTGAATGTAAGTAGTCAACTATCCACTAGACTCAATGAGGCTGAGGAACTCTTTTGATTGAGTGTTCGATTGACAGCAAACGTGAATATTATAATCATCCACCAAGAAAAAGTCTGAGAGACTTAAAACGCGTACACATAAAGCCGCTGCCAAATATGTCAAATATGCACACTTATATGTCAAAAGGCCCGTCTTTGCGAGTATCCTCTTAAACACAGTCGTTTATGACTTAGGTTATCAGAATATTAGACCAGTCTGTTCTCTCTTAAAGTGACAGCAGCCTAATAAACCTGATTCGTTCTATTGTAGTTCTATTCTAGTGCTATTATCACTGAGATGTTTACTTGTCTTCAGTGAGCTTGAGTTTTTTTTTATTTTATTTTTATTTTTTTAAGTTAGTTTGTTTATTTTACTTATGTTAGTTAGGCTAGAATTAGTTTTTTTATGTGATTTGTTTTTTTTTAAATTGGTGATGAGATTTATGAAATTTAAATTACATTTTTATATCATAAAAAAACTTTTTTTAGTGTGATATATATCATTATTGTGAAATTAAATTATTCATATCATAAGACTTTGGTCATATCACGCACACCTATTGTCAACAAACCATCGACTTTATAATTCATTTGCAAGCTGAAGTATCTCTATATCTGCTTTCTATGGAAATGAAATGATAATGTATTTGGGTGATTCTTCATTTAGGGAAACATTTCTTTCCCTTAGGGTCATTTGAAAAAAAAAAAAAAAAACATGCCTTTAAAGATTGTCATCATAATGTTGTCTCTGATTATTTCTTTTGCACTTTTTAAGTTATCAAAGTACTTTTACCAGAATTTGTCTTCTATTTATTTAAGTTAAAAACAATACAATTCTACATACTGTATATTACCATTTCACCAAAGCTGCATTTTTTTTTTAAATACAATGAAAACGGTAATATTTTGAAATAGTTTCACAATTTCAAATAACTGTATTCTATTGGAATATATTTTAAAATGTAATTTTTATTATTATCAATGTTGAAAACATTTTGTTGCTTGATATGTTAGTTTTTGGGATTCTTTGGTGAAAACAATGTTCAAAAGAACAGCATTTATTTGGAATATCATCGTTTGTAACATTATAAATGTCTTTACTCTCACTTTTGATCAGTTTAATGTGTCCTTTCTGAATAAATGTGTCTTACCCCAAACATTTAAATGGTAGTGTAAATAATTTTCCGATGTATTTTTTATTTTATTATATCTATGTATCATTTCTTTTGTCTGCTTGATACCATATCACAACACATTATGCTTAATAAATTATTCTTATAATTGGCTCATGATATTGGTTGTGAAGCTTTAATTATGGAGATGATTGCACATTAATCCTACTTTTCTGCACTTTGTCAGCACATCTGTCTGCCAGTATTGTTACCTACTGTGGCTGCCTCTCTGAGCAAACGCCAAAAGATAAAAATAGTCAAATTAAAATAACCAGAGAGAAACAGGATGATCATCAACAACACATCCAACAATTCAAAATTAACTTTTAATTGGTCACAAATGATAATGACAGTCATACGAATAATAAATAGCAATAATAGGGAAAAAATAACTTCAGGAAGAGCATGGCCAAAAAACAACAAACAAATCACACATAACTAACCCAGGAGTCCTTTAACTTACCTAAGAAACAGAGGATACGAACATAACTCTTCTCTCATTCCCTATCTACTCATAAAACCAGAATACAAACAAACTGGCTCCCCTTATGTTCCCAACAGGAACAAAATCATGTCTGTCAAGAAAAACTTCATTACATTATCATGAGACCCCATACCGTTACTTGTTGGATAATAAGTCTCCCACTACAACTAACATGGCGATAAGCCTATGTGTGAACTGAAATAGGTTCATATTGTAGATCTAGCATTGTGTTTTTGCTCAATATGATTAAGTGGCAGATCAGTTGGCTGCTGCACTGCAATATCTAAGTAATAGATGTCCTCTGTCCCAGACGAAACTATGTGGAGGACAGAGGATCATTTATTAATTATAATATAACTGCATGGTGAACCTAAGCACAATTTTATCTGTATTATTTATTTCCCCTTCAAAAATTGTTCCTGAGAATTGTTTTGTTTACCGTCCCCAGCTGTTAAATGAAATTTACGCCTCGCATCCCTTTGCTTCGTAGACAGAATCTGGAATGCATAATAGAAAAGTGTTTTGTGTGAAGTATAAAATCATTGGTTACCCGTAAGCCAATCACATAACATTTGGTTATGACGTGTTATTCGCTAGCTCAGCCGAATCGAACTTCCACTATAAAACCATCAAGTGAAATACCGGAGTGAACATGGCTGACTGAGTTTTGCTGCCTCCTTAACCTGATCCTCCATGAGTGCAACCAAGGGGGACACAATCACAACTATCAGCCCAGTTTCTCGCTGACGATCACTAATAGCTGATAAATTAACCTTTTCATGCATGAATTATGATATCCTCAGTCAGGATTTTTTTCCTTTGTGTTTTTTTTGCTCTTAGGGCATGAAAAACAAGATTTGATTTTTTTTTTTTTTTTTTAAACAAATTTTTCAAAGAGATTTTCAGATGTCCACTTGAGTGGACAGCATGCATTTATAGTTTAAACTGGAGAGATACTGTATTAAACATAATACAATAATCAAACAGATAAATGATGTGTATTTAACAAACTAATCAATACAATTACATCAAATCATGTGAAAGCTATAAAATATATGAAAAAATATATATAAATCCGAAATATTGCAAAGGCAATTGACCTGCATACAAGTTGCACTTCGTGTATCTTGGATATCAGAACATGATGATGTGATTCCATCAGAAATGTCTACAGCCTGTCGATGTACAACTGTGGAAACACTCAGATGCTCCCTCCAGTGTGCCAGAGTATGTCAATTTACCCTTATTAGCTGATAATTCTGATTATGTTAGAGATGGACCCATTTCTAGCATAGCCCCTCTTCTGAGAAAACCTAGTGATACATTTTTTTTAAATCTCATCTAAAATGAGCAGTGTTGGGCCAGGCATAACGCTTTCAGATTACTTGGTTGATGTTACAAGTAAAGTAATGTGTTAGAAGTAACATGCATTACATAATCAGATTTGTTTTAATGTTTCGAGTAAAGTAATGTATTACAAGTACCATGCATTACCTAATCAGATTACTTTTTGATCTAACAAATAATTACAAGTAATGTGCATTACGTAATCAGATTACATTTTGTTGTTACGAATAAAGAAACGCATTACAAGTAACATGCATTATTTAATCAGATTACTTTTTGATCTAACAATGCATTACAAGTAACATGCATTACATAATCAGATTAATTTTGATCTAACAAGTAATGCATTACAAGTAACATGCATTGTGTAATCAGATTACTTTTTGATGTTACGAGTAAAGAAACATAGGTAAACAGATATTTTTTGAAGAAGTAATGCATTACGTAATTAGATTACTTTTGATGAAATGAGTAAAGTAATGCATTACAAGTCACAAATTATGTAATTACATAACTTTTTTTAGACGTCAATGAAAATTACATTCTAATAATACAACTACATTTATTTACAGTCAAAAAACGTTACTGCAGATTAAGTATTTTCAAAAACAATATTCACAGTATAAGTATAAATTGTAGCTAAAATATAGCCGTTGATGCATGAGGTCCACTATAGTGGACGGGTGATTTATCAGATTTTTCTCCCAATCTAAAATCAAAACTTGTTGATATGACTCATTAGATACTGCTTGATGCTGCAATATTTTTTTTACCTACAAAAGTGTCCTAGCATAGAAGGAATGGGTGGATATTCCGGAGCACCTTGGCATGTCTGACTGGCCATTGGCCATCTTGGTTTGGAGGGGGAAAAAATCAAAACTCAATGGCTTATAACTTTGTTGCAATGCATAGGATGATGCACCAGGGTCCACTGAAGAGATTGATGTGCAACTTTCCCATCAAAACCCTTGCAAATTCAAGAAAATGCTTTTTAAATAGCTGTCCACTGTAGTGACCACTATGCATGAAAGGGTTAAACTTTTACCAAGACCTGTCGGGAGAAGGGCCACAACATCACCTCCATTTAAAATGTTTAACAAACACTCTTCTTGTTCAGGCTTCAGTTTGCAAATGCCGGGAATATTCTCCACCATATCTACAGTCGTTTTCGATTTCCCTAACTTAAAATACAATCTTACTTACATCACGGCTCTCAGCCCGCCCTCTGTTCGTTGATTGGCCGCCTGTTTTCAGGCAGGAGGAAAACTGAGAGACATGTCGATGTCTCAGACTGAGTACAGAAGCGAACTGAAAGTATGATGTCTGATGTAGTCAGGCTATGCTCAAACCTTACAATCGAATTTCTAACTACTGAAGAGGTCTTACCGTTGCTAAGCTATAACAAATAACTCCTGATATTATCCTGCCATTCCCAAAAATATTCAAAGCACTCGCTCATTTATGGGAGTGAGAAAAAAAAAATCAAGAGTCACGCTCAGTTTAGCCATCACAGGCTTCACGTGACCTAGCTGTTTACCTGTTAAGTATGTGATAACTGCCTTTGCAAACTGACGCTTTGAAAGGTTTAAAAGTCAAGGAAGCATTAGCCAAATGGCTGAACACCGCTTCCAGACTACTTACATTATTATCCCAGCTTATCCGACTCCATCAGCAAATCATCTAAATATGACTCTCAATTTGTCACTCCTAACAAAAAGTGCTAGAAAGTTGCTGGAGAATTTTGCATGCTGAACAAAAACCATTACCTTATATTGCAGACTGCTATCAGGAGTGACATGCAAAATCTCATAGCTCGAGTCTGTCTGAATCATTCGGGGTAGACCGAAATTATTACAAAACTTCAACTATTTCACCACTAGAGTGATGGCCACTTTAAAGGGTTAGTTCACCCCAAAATGAAAATGAAGTCATTAATTACTCACCCCCATGCTGTTCCAACCCCGTAAGACCTTCGTTCATCTTCGGAACACAAATAAAAATATTTTTGATTGAATCTGAGAGCTGGATCAGTCCTACATAGGCTTCCTAAGGGACTGGCTCTTGACGGCCCATAAAGTAATTAAAGAAAAGGTTTAAATATTCCATGTGCCTACAGCGGCTCAATTATAAGTTTATCAAGCGACGAGACTACTTTTTGTGCGAAAAAAACATAAATAACGACTTAATTCGACTATTCTATTACTTCCTGATGGGCGCATGCGCGAGAACTGAGACGAGGACGTTCTCCTTCGACTACTTTTTGTTACGGGCTGCTCCGCTTAGGAGTTTTACGCCACCTACCGTATAAAATGATGATCCATATATAAGGCGCTCCGGATTACAAGGAACACTGTCGTTTTTTGAGAAGATTAAAGGCTTTTAAGTGCATCTTATAGTGCGGGAAATAGGCAAATTGAAAAGCGTACATGTATGTACAGCGCGCATCTTCCTCTGCTTGTAAACAGAAAGTTTTGCGCTTCCAGCTATATCAACACATCATCTTATACGGTAGGGGGCGGTAAAACTCCTAAGCGGAGCAGCCCGTAACAAAAAGTAGTCGAAGGAGAAGAACGTCCTCGTCTCAGTTCTCGCGCATGCGCCCACAAGGAAGTAATATAATAGTCGAATTAAGTCGTTATTTATGTTTTTTTCGCACAAAAAGTAGTCTCGTCGCTTGATAAACTTATAATTGAGCCGCTGTAGGCACATGGAATATTTAAACCTTTT